ATTAATGCACTATCTAGTCATGGGGTTAATAACTATTTTAATTCTGAAATAGCTACAAGTACAAATGCTAATTTGCAATATCAGCAAACTTCTAATGTGATATGAACACTATTTTCATTTCTGTCTGTAACAAAGTTACAAATATTACACACAGCAATTTGAGGCCCACATTCAAAATTGAAGTCCCCAGACCCTGAATTCTATCAATGCACTCCTGTCCAGTTAAACTGGATCCCAGATTAATCATTTCTGTGCTGGGGCTAGGATGTGGCTCAGTGGTGGAGCACTTGCCTTGTACGTATGAGGCCTTGGATTTGATTTTTGGTACTGCATGGTCCTCAAGCATCGCAGGCATGACCTCCAAGAACCAAGCCAAGAGTAGCCCCTGAGCACCCCGCCATGTGACCCCCAAAGAAATAAAAACAACCTCTGTGCTACAAGGTTTCAATGGTTCTTGCAGCTTCAGAACCACCTGTCTGTAAGGGCCCTTAGGTTTGTATTTCTAGCCCAAACTTCTCATCCACACTATACACATTCAACCTCCCACCAGGTCTCTACTTGGATCTCTCACTGGCATCTCAGGAAAATGTAACACATAAAAGAACCAGTCCTGAATTCTCAGAATCACCCCACACAAGCCCCTCACAACACCACTCTTGCCATCTCAGTAAGTGGACAGACACACCTTAAGTCACTTAGAGCAGATTCCTGAGAGCAACCTTATACCATCTTTCCCAAACAATTAGTAAGTTCCATGGACTCTGCTCTCCGGGCCACCAACTGCCCTCCTGAATGGCCCTAAGTTTCCTAATTAACCCCCCTCTCCCTGGCTTCTCTCATCATTCCCTCCACCATTCACCACACAGCAGACCAATGTATACATTTTAAACTAGGCCACAACCTCACTTAAAACTTTTCAATAGTTTTCTATTGCTCTCAAGATAAAAAGAAAATTCCTCCCCAAGACCTGTAAGATCCTGAATGGTGTAGCCCTATCTACCTGTCCAACCTCATCTGGTAGTCATCCTTCTTCCTGACTTGCAACACCCCAAACACAGCGATCTTCTCCTGCTAGGGACTACTCCTAGCTTGGGACTTGGAGTCACTACTCATGGTGATCCTTGAGAATCCTGTGATGCCAGGGAATCACACCTGGCCTCTGTATGTAAATCATGTGCTCCAGTTCTTTGAGTCTCTGGCCTAGTGATCATCTTTCAACCTCCAGAACACAGGAAGGTTTTTTCTACCTGTAAGTTTCTGAATGCAGTTAAAATTACCTGAAATGTCTGTCCCATGTTCCTTGAAAGAACGACTCTAACTTAGCATTTCATACAAACCCTACCCTAATCTATTTAGCTAATATCCTTGGTTATTCTGTCACAACACTCTGTTGCTTTTATCTCCATTTTGTGACTACTTACCTGTTTATCATCTCTTCCCACAGTAAGAAGGGCACACCAATAAGGGCAGAATTATCTTCTTTGCTCTCTATCTGTATCTAGAACATGCTAAGAGGCCAACAAGGTCTAAATAATATGTTTGGTTAAAGAATATGGTCTTGTTCTCAAAATACTATGTGGGGTGATAAGCAAGAGGGGATAGGATTCTGATAATGCCTATATATTTAAGAAACAGATTGTGTTCTGTGACTCTGGGTATCATGAATAACAGTTCCCTAGAGAATGGTAGTCTAGTCCTGTATCTAGAGCCCCACTAGTAGGCTGGATTATTACTGCAGTGATAGAGTGACCTCGGCCGGGGAGAGCTGGGTGTGAGGGACATGTGGTATAGCAGCTTATTTAATTTAATTTATGGAATATGGAGTTTAATTTGGGACTTCGTTGGATTGGCTTGACCTGAGGCAATCAATGTAGCTATCTTCATTTTTTCTGTAGGTACCTAAACTTAAAACAATCTAGCTGTTCCCTTTCTCTACTCTAAAACTGTAACATGGTCCACAAACCACCTCTAAACGCTGCCATGTAAACTCATAGTGACCTTGCTCCAGAGTCTCATAAATAAATCTGAAAAGAAATCAACAAAACCCCCAAATTTCTCTGGACACCCGTGCATGGCTGAGACTTCTGGGGCATTCCAGAGGGGGCATGTCAGCCCACTGCCCACCCAGATCCCAGGCAGCCACTTGCTTTCATACTGCAAAATTGCTGCCATGCCCCCGGCTGGACTCCATTGTCTCAGGACTGAGCCTCACCCAGAAATTAATCTGCTGAAAAATTCAGGTATGCAGGTTTTGTGACTGAAATCTCCAGGCTTTCTCAGTGTCAGAATGAGTTCCCTTCCTCCACCTCCCTGTACTCCGAGAAGACCTGGTAGTCATGTTCACACCTAGAGCCACCACCCAGTAAAAATTTAACTCCAGCTGTACTACCACCTTAGAAATTCTGTACTTTCTAGAATGTGTGGCTGCGAATCTCTACAACACTGATAAACCAGTTAACCAGTTGTAGCACACCAGAGGGAGTGGGATGTAATACAGAAGGCAACCAATCTCAATTAACATAGCACAAACACAGAAGGCTTAACCTGTAACAACATCTTCGTAATGTCTCAGATAAGGGCTTAATGTCTCCATGGTGAGATACAACAATTCTACTAATTTTCTTCTAAGGAAACATTTTTTGATCAATTTATTGATAACAAGTCATATAAAAAATTATCGAGGGCCTGCTATGGGGGAAGGCTTAAGAGGTGGTTGGGAAAATGGTAGAGGGAAAGAGGAATGGCAGTGGAATTAGTAGTGGAATATTGAATGCCTGTAACAAATCATCATGAACAACTTTGTAAACTACAGTGTTTATATAAAGTATAGGGGGAACTTTTACATATGTAGGCCTGTTCCACCTATTCCATTTAAATTCCATAATATATTAACACAGAATTGCTTTAAAAGTTTTATTAATGACAGGTGAAACATTATTATTACCGTAATGAGATCAAAATATAAAATAAAAGCGAATGTAATAACTTTAGATGCTACCGTTGAAAACTTATATGTAAATGAGTATAGGCATTTTATTATATTGTAATTAAACGGTCTTAATTTTCTTCTTTATATAGGTCAAAATCGTATAGTAATCACTAACTGGTTCTTACTGATTTATTTTCTGATTATCCTGTTAGCTATTTCAAAAAGTTTTGCTGGAATGAGCAATATAAAGTAAATCTGTTAGGTGCCTAAGTGGGAAGGTTGGGATTGGAAGGGAAACTGGGAATACTGACAGAGGGACAAAAACACTAGTGGTGTTGGAACACTAAATGCTTGAAACAATCGTATAATAAACAACTTTATAAATCATGTTTTTAACTTAATTTAAGAAAAGAAAATTTAACACAAATCCTAAGCAGTCCACTAGTGGGTAGAGTACAAGGATGTCACTAAAACTCCTATAATACACAAGGCAGTACCTATGGCAAAGATTATTCAGCCCAAAATATTAGCAGCTCCAAGACCAATAAATTCTGCCTTAGAGTATGGCAGAATTATGTAAGATCAAAAACGTAACAGAATATAATGGATAGGCATATATTGTCTCTGAGAAGACACAAGAAACAAATTAAGAGTGATTGACTCAAGGGAAGATCACTGATACTTTGGAGGTAAAGGGAAAGGCAGGGAGACTTAAATTTTAAAATATGTTTTAAGTAGTATTGTGCCTTCTGAATTCTATAGCATAAGTATATATTGCCTATTCTAACAATAATAATAAAAATACCAAAGAATACTTTCCGTGACTCAAGACTATGATTGCAAAAGACTACCTTCTAGGATTTACAAAAGGAAAACAAAAAACACAGGATCTATGTGATAGAATCAATTCTGAATTAAGGGGTTGAAAGTCTTGATTCGTCACTTCAGACTGTAGGTCAAGGCATATGATGAAGCCCTGAACTTGTTTCCTCCATAGAATGAGAGGATGCAGTGGCCTACTCCGAGTACATAGAATTGGAAGGTCAAATGGTATAATACAGGCAAAATATTCCATGAACTATTGGAACCAGATGAATACACTGAAACTCTTCTAAGTTTGAAATGGGAACATACCTGGCAGTGCTGGGGGAAAGGGAGTCCTGGGAATAAATTTAGGGCCCCACAACAAGCTAAGTATGTGCTCTACCTCTTGATAAACCTCCCATGTCTGAAATGAAATCTTGGTCAATTTTTGTTTTAAGCTTTTTACAATCCTTTTTAAAGATCCTTACATTACAAAAGAACAAGACACTGGAAATTTACAAATGAGACCCTTTAACACCATTCCCTTCTTAAATGAAATTCCCTTCTTAAATTACTTCGTTGTCACTGCTTGAGTTATTTCCTGTTAATTGTATTGCAATCTCCTATTTATGATTCCTACCCTAAGGAACTAAGCAACTCAAGAGAAAGATCTCATTGTGATGAGCCACACAAACTGTAGGTGTTTAATGTTATTTGATGATTTGCATGATTATGACCAAGGTTTAGAAGAAAAAATATTTTTCCTGAATCATTCAATTTGCTACAAAATAAATAGAGATGAGCAAGTTTTGCCCTGCCAAAATTCGGTAATAACAAAATTGCCTGAGGGAGAGAGAGAGAGAGAAAGAGAGAGAGAGAGAGAGAGAGAGAGAGACAGAGAGACAGAGAGAAAGAGACAGAGATAGAGACAGAGAGACAGAGAGAGAGCAGGAAAAATATCATCAATAGACATGTAGAATTTAAAAACCAATTCCTTCACCCAAACAGCTGGCCCATGTGGGCACAGGCCAAAGACCTCAGTTTCTGACTCATGAAATGGCTGAGTCATGAAAAAAAAATAACTCTTTAGTACTTGTCCTTTGAGTGGCAAGATAGTCAACATGTAGGTGCAGCGAACAAAAATGATTAACCTTAATGATGCTGTTAAGTTCTCTAGTTTTAGCAATTCTGAGCAGAGTGAGCACAAAAGTGACATGAGTAAGGGATTGGTCACCAAAAAAGAAAAAGGAAATAAGAGGTGTCTTACGTGATATACTTGTTATAGAGGATGAAAGCATGTTCAATGTTGCCTTCCTCAGAGTAAATGGATGCCATACGGATCATCTCCACTCCAGAGCGGAAGTACCGGCGGGGTGGAATGTCTTCATTTACCTCCACAGAGCTGCCCAGCAGGGACAGAGCCCTCACCCGTTCTTCGGGTGGGAGGCTCACATCTCCATGGTCAGACATCAGGACCAAGATCTTCGGAAACGCAAAAGAGAAAACAGATGGGATCAAATACTATGGCTTGCCACATCACAGCAGGGCCAAGCCACGTCCACTGTGTTTATCCCACAAATCTCTATCTTAAGAAATCAAGGGGAAAAAATACCATATGCTGTGGCTCCTATCAAATAAGGTCTCTTCCCACAAGAAGGTTGAGACCCTCAAGGAAGCCCACAGTGATGAAAGAATCGGCAATCTCAAATTCCCACAATTCTGTGCCATAATTAGGTGGTACAAAGCATATAACTACAAAGAGCCACAGTGAGTTCCGTTCTACCCTTAATGCTAATTATCACCTACCATTTGGTAGTCTGATCTCAACACCATAAGAGAAGCAATACCTTTTTTATCCTTTTTTTTTTTTTTTAATTTCTCTCCCCAGTTAGTTAACCATTTCCAATTACCCCCAAATCTGGTAAAATGTGCTGAATGAACTTCTGGGAGGATTATTATTTGGGCCTGATGGTGAGACTGCAACCAGCACTGCTCAAAAGATACTGCTCGAAGTTTTTGCAGTGCTGGGTATGGAACCAGAAACGACCACATGTAAGGCAAGCACTGTAGTCCCTGCACTACCTCTCTGGCCCTCACGAGAATTATTTACCTTGAAGTCTGGCCACTTTCATTTAATATGAGAGCAATTAACATTTTCCTGTGTTATTTTTCTGTGCTATTTTTCATATTTGAATCCAAGGTTAGGGAACTGGTCTGGGAAGGAATGTTGATAAACGTAACTAAGCTACTCAAAATACTGTTTCTGTGAATCTGCATCATCTACAACATCATCTCATGACAATTAATTTTCATCTTGAAAACAATATGCTCCAATCTACCTTAAAAGACTAATAATTCTATGAGTAATGAAAGACACAAAAAGTAATTTAAAAATGAGGGGAAAAAAACAAACCAACAAAAAAAAGCTGGGGTTTTCCCCCCTTGGGTCTCAAAGCCCCGTCATTCTACAATTTTTACATTTATTGTTACAGTTAGAACCAGAATTTAAATTTTATGAATTTGAATTTCATATATATATATAGTATATATATGGGCTAGAGCGATAGCACAGTAGGCAGGGCATTTGCCTTGCATGCAGATGACCTGAGCTTGATTCCTCCATCCATCTTGGAGAGCCTGGCAAGTTACCGAGAATATCCCACCTGCAGGGCAGAGCCTGGCAAGTTCCCCATGGTGTATTCGATATGGCAAAAACAGTTACAAGTCTCACAACAGAATCTTTACTGGTGCCCCCTGGAGCAAATCAATAAACAATGGGAGAGCAGTACTACAGTGCATATATATATATATATATATATATACACTCAACTATATATCATTTCCAAAAGATCCACACTGAAAAACAGTACACCCTAACCAGCATGTCAGCATGCTTCAGAATATACAAGCTACAGAATTCATGTTAGAACTCAAGGCATTGTGTCAAACTGACCCCCTGAGCGTCCTTTCAGTCACAAAGCTTAGCCTGGAAACCCTCACATTGGACTCCAAAGTGTCCCTTTCGTTCTCCACTCCCAGACCTAGGGGGGTCATCTTTACTGAGCCAAGCCCACCTCCCCCACTCCACGGGGCCTCTTCTCTACCAAGCATCCCCAGCAAACCCCTTTATGGAGAGGAGATTCCAGTTCCCACTAAACTCCTTTGGGGGACTCGGAAAGGCCCTAGCAAACCCAACACCTCCCCAAATCTCCCTAGCTGGTCGAGGGGTCCAGATTCACAGAAGCCCAAGGCGCCTGGCACTTCGTTAACCCTCAAAGAGGATCTTTGGGGTCGACAACTGTATCTCCTGGGGTGGGCGGGGGGAGGGGGAGAGGGAGCGGGTAAAAGAGGGAAAGAGGGGCCCTGGGCAAGCAGCGCCGGGGACTACAGGGTTAAACAACACTCCCAGGAGCCGTGAAGAAGGGGTGGAGAGAGGTGGGTCTGGGATTGAGGGGCCCGAGATGTGCAGGAGGGCTGAGAGGAGCAGCAGGGAGGAGCCCGGGAGGAGCCCGGCACGATGGAGAGGGGCCACCTGGCAACGGCTTGACGCCCACTTCGGGTCCCGTGTCCCAGAGCCCAGCAAAAATCACTTTAGGTTTCCCCGAGCTCTTCCCCCCCGGGGTGGGCGGGGAAGCGCTGTGCCGGCGGGGGGCGCGCGGGGCCCCGACCAGGGCGCGGGGGAGGCCCAGGCTGCGGGCACACTCACGGCGGCCGCTCCCCCGCCGAGTCCCGCCGAGCTCAGCGACCCCGCCCACCGCCGACGTTTTCCCCGGACCCTTCCCCACCTGTGCCGGCAGCTGACACCCGGAGCTTCCGGAAACGTCACATCCGGCGCCAGGCCCCGCCCCCACAGCGCTCGTCCGTCAAATCCCCTCCCGAGAATTCAGGTTTCCCCCACCTCCTCCCGGGAGGAGGGACTAGTCGGTGGGCGGGGCTAGCAGCGACACCTGCGGGAAAACTGGCCAATGAGGAGACGGCAGCCACGTTGATGAGGGAAAAGCCACCCGGAAGAAGCCGGAACTCAAGTGACGGGACCACCCCAGGGCAGGACCAAGCTTAGCTTTCAGGATTTTGATTTTGCAAATTTGTGGTGGCGGTGGTGGTTTTTTGTTTGTATTCCCCCAGATAGTCCCTTCATTACACTCACACACGTGCAGCGTTCGGAGAGGGTTGCTGACCTGAGTACAAACTACAGAACCCGAGTACAGCTAAAGTAATTAGGGTTTCGAAATCAGAGGAGAGGAAACTCCTTCATCGTTTAGCTTGTGTCACTTCACACACAAAAATGGGCTGGCCGGAGGTATTAGGTAAAAGATCTCTTTGTTGTCTAGATATGAAGGTGTAGAACACGCTCTCTTTATCGCTGTTTTATTTAGTTTTTTTTTTTGGGGGGGGGTCATACCCAACGCTCAGCGGTTACACCTGACTCTGCACTCAGGAATTACTCCTGGTGGTACTATATTACTCCTGGGAATTACCCCCAACAGCGCATGTTGGGGGAGTGGGGAACCATGTGAGATGCCAGAGGTAGAACCTGGCAAATTCCCTAGTCTCTTTCTTCTCTCTCTCTCTGACCCCTGAAACACATGTCTGAACCCCAATAAAATTTATTTGAAATAAAAGCTAGTGTCTGAGTCCCTGTGCAAAGCAATAAGGACACCAAGATCTGTATTGTATAGTTTCTTTCCCTGAAACCTGAAAGGGGTGATTTAAACTCCAAATATAAGATGTCAACGTTGGCCGATGGGGAATGTATGAAAACAATTCTTTCTAAAAGTCCTGAGGGGTCCATACTCATGCTCTCCAGAACACTGTATATCACCAGTCAGAAAATTTATGCGTTGTTTTAAAGTTTTATTTTTGTTTGTTTGTTTTGATCTTCTGAGCTGTGCTGAGGGGGCACAGGGACCATTTCTTGATCAAGCATGGGTTGGCTCAACACTAGGGCCCTAAGGTGCAGAGTCCCCTGCCTCTGTGCCATGTCCCAAATCCCAGATTCTCAAGGGCTCAGAGCTGTGTGTGGCTCAATATAAAATGGTTGCCATGCACGTGTGAAACCAGGACTTGATTCTTAGTGGCACTGGCATTGTGTCCTTCCCAGGGTTCACAGCATTCTAGTTTCTGGTGAGAACCATAAACAAGTTTGTTACCAAGGGCATCATAACAGGAATAAAAGGTCAACGGGAGGGCCTTTACCTTTACCTAGGAATAAAAGGAAAGAACAAAATTAACAAAGACCTTTTTTTTTTTCTTTTTGGGTCACACGAGCGATGCATAAGGTTTCCTCCTGGCTTTGCACTCAGGAATCATTCCTGGTGGTGCTCAGGGGACCATATGGGATGCTGGGAATTGCACCCGGGTTGGCCACGTACAAGGCAAACGCCCTACCTACTGTGCTATTGCACCTTTTTTAAAAAAAAAAGTATAACTCTTGATCCCTAGCACCACACGTGGTCTCCTGAACCCCACCAGGAGTGATCCCAGAACAGAGAGCCAGAAGTAAGTCCTGAGCACTGCTGGGTATGACCCCTTAAAAAATATAGCTCTCTGCAAAAGGCAATGCCCTGCCACAGAGGCGGGGTGGGATGGGGGGGGGAGGGGTTGGGATGGGGGGTGGGGAGGCTACTGGGATCTTTGGTGGTGGAGAATGGGCACTGGTGGAGAGATGGGTACTCAATCATTGTATAACTGAAACCAAAGCATGAAAGTTTGTGAGTCTACAATTGTACCTCATGGTGTTTCACTAATAATACTAATAATAATAATAAATTTTTAGAATTAGCTCTCTAATGATAGTTTCCCATCCTTCCTGTCAAATTCTGAATTCCTATAAGTTTTACTGTACTGTCTTCAAGGACCTGCTAAGAGTCTCATCCTAGGGCATACCTCTTCAGCCAAGCCAGCCTCCAGATCTTTCCTTTCCCCCACCTTCTGTTGTATATATTTCCCTTGACTTCCCTACAGTATTCTGTGGCCATTGGCTTTTTAGATTTATGGTAGAAAGCACTTAGCAGATTTTCTCCCTCTCTCTTACAAGCTCAATATGCAGGTCAATGCTAGAACTCACTTTTGATTCTCTTAGATCCTCTGCAAATAAATTTGGGAAGATAGCTGTACGGGGCACTCAACTATATTTTGAAAACTATTTCACTACTGGGCCAGATTTGTGACTCAGTGTAGATGTGTATGTATTGCTTGCATGGGATCCTAGTTTCCACCCTTCTCCTTTTCCTTCTCCTTTTGCTCTACCCCCTCCTTCTGCTATTGCTTACACACACACACACACACACACACACACACACACACACACACACACACAGCTTCTCTATTGATTCTTTCCCACTCAGGTTTACAGAAGTATAGGGGGCATCTAGGAAAGAACCAATACAGGACATAAATTCAACCCATTTAGCCTCTTACTAGTAAATATTGTTTGAGGATACAGTATGTGCCAGTTTCTGTTCTAGGTGTTAGGGTTGTAGTATTAAGTAAAACCAGATTGTGTAGATTAGATTACTTTTGTAAGTACAGGCAAAAACACCTAGCATTGGGGGTTTGGGGGGGGAGAGATTACCTACTGAGCACAGTTTGTAATCACTTATCATCCCATTGTTCGTCCATTTGCTCAAGCGGGTGCCAGTTATGTCTCCATTCAACCCTGTCACGTGCTAATGTAGCCCAGTGGTGTCTGCTCACTCTAGGAACCTGAAGAGCATCAAACCGTTTGTTCAGGGTCTTGATGAAGAAATCTGACCATCTCATAGGTGGGCGGTCCTGTGTTCTTTGGACATCCCGTGGAATCCAGTCGGTAACAGCTCTAGTCCAGTGGTCATCTCCAAATCTCAATACTGAGC